TCACTTTGTGGAGGCGATAAGAAAAGGTAAATTATGCGGTTGTTGAGTTGTTAGAGAAGCACTCAAGTGGAATTACTCGGCAGAAGGCTCGTCTCCGCTGCTGAATTGTACTGCGCTCTGAGGAATTTACAGCTGGAGCTATAACCAGCTAATAGCCATGTGAATGGGTTTATTTCAGTTTTTCAAAGGATGTCACCGCGTCTATGCGGTGTAATATGGCCATTTTCCCCCGTGATACATATTCCTAGATGAACGATCCTGCTGAAATCGGGACTCCCATACAAATGCTCATTCGCAGGCATCAAATCCTGTTCAATGGCCCCGGTAGCCGGCCAGTCAGTTCTACCCAGTTTCTTCCAGGGTCATAGACATTGTCGTCGAGGCTTCAGATGCCTCTCCGGTGTCTCTGAATGTGATGCCTGGCATCATAGTAACGCTTCAACCACTCCTATGTCGGGTCCACGTCCTCACTTGATGGGCGTGACGCGAGATTACGGTATCGGAGGAGGCTGGCGCACACCAACTGGGGATGAACAGTGATGGTCCAAGCCTAGCCATGCCCCATCCTTCCCCATGACCCTGTTTTCTAATAATGTTCTGTATTCACCTACCGCTACAGACCTCAGACATAGGTCTGCATAACCTATACTGTAACACCGCTTCTCGATACCGTTTCTAAGACGGCCGAGCTCATTTGTATGGCACTGCAAATTATCACAATGCGGGCGTGGTCAGTGAGATGGGCGGGGCCTGCGCAGGTGACAGATTCCTCTTGCACCCCACATTCCGTTTTCGTTGGCGTACAGAGCAAAGGAATTGGTGCAATGTGTCCTTAACATAAGTTCAGCTAGACTAGAGAAATCGGAACGATATCCCTAATTCCCCTCTAAAAATTACGAATACTATATATGAAGCTGTCAAATAAAGGTACCTGAAAAAGAGGAGAAGAACAGAAGAGAAAGGCAGTGGGATGTAGGCATGAAACTTCTGTCAATGTCATCAATTTCAGGCAATTCGTCATCGAATGTTGGGACCACGAATTCAGTGGCAGGTACTTTCATCAATCTAAGTGAAACTTGCTCTTTATCCCCTATCCACCTAGGCATCATTATATCGGCGAATGCAGCATCTCCATTGATGAAATCATCGAAAAACGGGCTGACCCCGTACCGGTAAAGATTAGGTCATTTCCACCGATGCTCTGGTGACCGTTAGTGTTTCAGTTGATAAATGAGGATCGTATGAATAATGGCGCCTTCTGTGGAACTTACGTCAATTCCGGCACGTTACACTTTCTTCATTTTCAAATAGTGAAACGCTACACATTTCTGGATTTTATACAGGCTGGGTTTGTAATTTCTTTTATATTAGAAATTGCTCCGCAAACCCAGCAAAAACCTTCTGTGGAAAATTTAGAGGGTATTTGACTTGTTTCACTGAATAACTGCTGTTTTATGCCGCAGTTCGTTTTGCGAAAATTATCACAAGCGTGCTTAGTTATGTGCGAAACCTTCGCAAAAAAATTGTCCACAACGTCGAAAAATATCGGCCCCAGTTCCGAAACAAGCCTTTCGGCAGCGCAATGGGCCTCCGCGGAGGGGGGGGGGGAACGGTTTGTATGAAGGCCACTAGAACTAAGCCTAATGAAGAGGGACGAATTCCGGAGAAAATGAAAATTGCTTACGCACTCGGATTCCCTCTTCTCCTCTGAAAGCTTAGTCCTAAAACTGAGCGTTTCCGTGAATCTGACGCAATGTTACGGGCTGCCCCCCGGAGCCACATTGCGCCAAATTCTTTCTAGATTCCTTTCAAAAAATTCAAACAGCGAAGTGCATCGACAGGTTGGATTACGCCACGAACCGTTTCGTTTTCCATCCAGATTCACCGAAATATTTGAATACCTCAGAAGCGATATGAAGTAGAGTCTGTACAATTCTGGACTAACCCAATGGGAGGTAATGGACCTCGACAGTACGAGTCGGCCACTCTAAATAGGCTGTGAGTATGAAATCGTGTAAATAGTTGGGGAACCTCTTACCTTCTTCGTATGGATCTGTGAATGACGGTTTTTTTTATCTTGGTGTCAATAACTCTATCTATTGTGGAACTATTTGCAATTCGTTCACGTTTAATTCTCAAGAAAGAAGTTGATCTCTAATTCTTGCGACTTCGTTTCGAAATTATTCGGCAACAAGTGAGCTCGACTTTTCGAAAAGACGATCTTGCCTCACCTTCATACCATCAAGTTGGTCGGCGCGAAATCTGTCCTCGGGATGAAGCAGGCTTCACAAAGCGACTATAACTGTAAGCTACTAAATTATCGACAAATCTCTAATGGAACGCTCTGTTTTTGAAATGGGATTCAAGGCGTGATCTATTTTACAGAAACTGGTCAACGCTGAGCGCCTTACAGAAAGGCCAAGCTTCCAGTTTCCATTCATCTAAAAACTTCTGAATGGAGATATCTCTGCCTTCGAATGAGCCTAATCCTAAACATGTATCATCAATATGAAGAAAATGTTTTTTTCTGTTTCAAAACCTCTACTATTGGTGAACTTGTAATTCGTTCACGTTTAATTCTCAGAAAAGACGTTGACTTTTGAATCTTCCGACATTTCCTTGAAGTTATCGCAACAGTGAAGCTCGACTCTCTTAGAAAGGCAATCTAGCCCCGCCCCTCCCCCCTTTCAGTACCATCAAATTGTCGGTGCTAAACTAGTTCTCGGGATGGGTGATGCTTTACAAAACGACTACTAAATTGATATAAATCTTTAATGAAGCGCGTTATTTCTAAACAAGGTCACAGAAATGGTCAGCGCGAGCACCTCATGGAAGGGCCAAGCCAAAAAGGCCGAAAATTTTGGCCAAAATTGTTCTCTATGATGTACCATTCCTTCAAACTGATCGCAACCGTAATCTTAGGAGAGGTTTTCAGGACGCAGCTGGATTTCTCGGTGGCAATCGATTTGACCAAATCCAATGGGGACCCGCGGAAACCGGAATCACTGCACTACATTGGTAATCCAGAGAAACCGTCACCTTATGAGTTAGCTATCAAGTCAGTTTTTGTCACAAAAATAAACCTTTCCAACACAAGGAAGACAACAGATACAAAGAAAAAAAGAAGTAGAAAAATAGAAAGTAGACAAAATATGACGTACGAATGTTAACACATCTCACAAATCACGAATTCAATGGGAAACAAAGGCGGGAACAGTTGACGAGGCAATCTAGTAACTTCTTTATCCAGCAGAGGAAAGGTAACCTGATAGAAGGCAATAAGTAGGATCACGGCTACAAAGCGACACCTAAACCAACACCCAGTTGTTGGGTAGTATCCTCGAATGTCTTTGGGTTTTCATAGCACCGGGCTTTTTATTAAAGCTTTTCCTTACATACTTCATGGACGGAACTTTGTGATCAGTATTGATAAGGTATATCTTGAAAAGAGGAAGACTAGTTACACCGACGGCTAATTTGAAAATGCGTTGCATAGGCAAAATACTCATTCAAAAGTCTCTACAATGCTGGATAGATGCGGGGGTGTGGCGCAACACTGCATCCTTTAACTTAACATACTGTATGTTCTCTGTCACTGCTCTAAATAAGGTCACTGGCATTCATTTAACATTCCATACTCCACATCGAGCTAAGCTCTCTCTAATTTCCACCTATACATCAGTATTTTGTTTTTTATAATTTATGGAGAATTTTCCATAGATCAGCTAGTAAATGGGACCGTTTAGAGCCGTTGTCGACATATGTCAGTTCTATAGCCGTACGCCCGGTCGCAGAAGTGCTGCCTATACAGAGCTATGCCCTAGGGAACTACACAATTCTGTAAAGCGATATGAAGAAATTATGTAGCAGCTCACGCTCAAGTGATTACGGTAGGCCTCCTTGAACTCGACGGTGATGACAGATGGACATCATGTTCCGACGACAAAGAGGGCTAGTGGGGAACAACCATGAGAAGACAACCTGATTCTGGGGGGCAGGGACGGGGGGGGGGGTGGAATCTAATCTAAGAAAAGTATGATGATGTGCGACATGGGTTAAATGACTATTTTTATGGCACACACATCCCTGTATAGTATTTATAGCCGATGCATGCTTGTGGAAGGAGTGCCAATTTCATATAGAAATCCTCTGTAGGTGAAAATTTCGAAACACTGAATATTACTGAGTTGTCAGTTTATTTTCGATGCTTCTAAATTCCCGCTGTTCCACTTGGAGGTTATCGCTGAAACCGAGGGGGGGGGGATCATGAGCAGCACACCACCCGCGGTTACCGTCTAACATCACCTCGGTCTGTGTCAGGGTTGAATCTAGCAAACAAGCCTAAGAAATACCGAACTCCGACTATTCAAAACCACTGAAAACCAGGAAGAAGTGGGACATTAGCAAATGGCATGTTGTTGCACATCTGCAACCTCGGACTAATCGTTGCCTGAGTCGAATAAATCTTCCACGGTTTCCATCAACTAATTAGCGTTAGAGTCGCCCACGTAGAAAAAAACACTCAGCTGCACACAGGATTGCAGTTGTAATTCTTTGTGTAAGCCTGATGCTTCTTTAAAAGCCGGTGCGGTCACAGATGGAAGTCGTATGCATGGCGTACCCAAAAACGAACTGATTACCCATTTTTTATCCTTTTCCATTTCACTGAACCATTTCGTCAATCATTTAAACTCAATCCGTTAACTAAATCATCTTACTTTGTTGTGATTTAAATGTGCACAATGTTACCTTTCCAAGGAGGAGGTTTAATAAGCTAAAGTTCCGGTGTCCTTGTCAAAATTGAACGGTCAAAAAATAAATGGGCGGGCCCAACTCAATTTTAATAATCCCTGCTACACTTTCACTAATGGAATTAAAAATTTTCATAGGATAAATTCGAAATTAAGTATAACGAAAAGATATTTGTAAAATCCACTAGTTCCTATAGTATCAGTCGATAAGGCATCACACTATTTGTTGCAATTGTATTCTATTCTACTCGCAGAACCTCTCCTCAAGCTGCGTGGTGCGCCGCCTAGAAGGCGTTCTGAACGCCTACCACAAATGCGTGCCGCTTGTTCGCCTTTATGGCCCTACCAATTTCGCTCCGGTAATCACAGAAGCAGCACGAAGAGCGGCTGAAGTACGCGAT